ATTAATTTTAAGAATTATTAATTATAACGAAAATGGATTGAAATAGATTGGAAATTTTCAATCCATCCGAATCCGTACTTTAAATCTATAAAAATGAATTGGATGGACTATATACAAATTTTTATACATGTAAAAGTTTAAATAAATTAAAGTAATAATTACAGGAAATTCTATAGTTACAAAATATAAATAATGGAGAGCATACAGCCACAACAATAGATATTAACGCAAGTCATGTATTTAAAATTCCCGTATAAATAAGTAGACGTTTCGCCGTCATCGGTAACACATTTAATTTATATTCACAATTCGCGTAAATATCAGGAAATCAAGAAATTGCAAGAAATAGCCAACATGGATTTGAATTACTTAAGCAAACTGTGGCAAACAAATAGAAAAAGCTTTAGCCAATAAAACCAAGACAATACCGAATTGAAAATTGTCTTCTTGGAGAATTGTGAGTTGATGGCACGACTACAAACTAATGTCAAAGACCAACTCGACATCGCGGACGTTGAATTATATTTATTAAATAATATCTGATAAATTATATCTCTCTATTAAATTATACTTATTAAATTATATCACTCACAATTTTGAATTGAATAGCATGGCCATTTTAAAAGAAAAACTTTTTTTTTATTCAATTGGATTAAAAAATATTTCGTATTCAGAATTTTAAATTGCGTAGTATTTACGTACTGAAATTGCTGATATTATTTTTAGATTCAACTGGATTGAAAAACTGCATTTCCTATTCAGAATTTTTAAATAAGCAGTATTCACGATGCATAGAAATAATCGATATTATTTTTAAAATTCAATTAAATTAAAAAATTGCATTTCCTATTCATAATTTTGAATTGAGCAATATTCACGATGCACACAAAATACTACAATATAATATTATTCTTAGATTAAAAAGCATAGAAATATATTCCTTACCATTCCTATAAATGAATACAAATGCATTCAAGATTGAAAAGGAATAGACATTTGTGTAATTCTTATAAATGAATAAAAATGCATTCAGGATTCGAAAAGATTATTTTAACATTTATGAATCGGTATTGCTGAAAATCTGTATCCATTTCAATCTATTTCAATCCATTCTCGTTTGCTGGGACATTTCTTTTGAAATGTATTATGTTTCTTTTGTTTCCTATGACATTAATATGCGATATCAATGCATGCAATAATTCTTCTTGTTAATTTTGGACGGATTTTTAAACTTTGTCGATTGATTGATAGTGTATTAGATGAATTAAGCAATTGACACCATATATACACAGTACATATATAGGCATGCACTACATATAGAACTCTTTCAATCTTTTTCACATTTCCATTTAACACAATATGTCGTTAGCAAAATTATCATCGATTTTCTTGATAACTGGAGTGTTTGCAACGTGTCAAATATAATATATTAAGTAGCTATTGATCACAACATCCCCGTATCCCATATCTTTATCAGATTAATATATTATTAAGAATATAATATATTACAAATATTATTGTTCCTATCATTTTAACACTACACTCAGTTCACCTGCGACGGTGCATCGTCAATATAGGAGGATTACTTTAGAGTCGAAAATTTACGAATATTGATAATGTGTCGCGATAATATGATGATCTCTCTCTTTCTCTCGCTCACTTTTATGAAATTCAAAAATTTTATGAGTCCAAAAATCTTACTGGGAATTTGTAACGTGTTCTAGGAGAATCAGAGGAAGAGTGGAGAAACACGCACCGCATAGCGCGGAGAGCTTCGGCGATTTCTTCGGAACGGCTTGTTCGATGAGGTCGTTATTTTCCAACATGTCACGAATCTCGATCTCTTCGCACCCGGGAGGCATTTCTCTTTTATTTTACTTAGCGATTGCCCTCCTGTTCGACGTACGTTTCGCCTCTAACTGTCCGGCACCAGTCCCGCGTGCTCGCAATCAATATCAATCCCGGGGTGGATACCGGCGCAAAGTTTCCCTCCCTAAACTTTTGCAAGCCTGTTCTCGATTGAGAAATCCCCACTTTTAACAATGCAGACACGTTAAGACGATACGAGACAACGATGTTTGAAAGCTAACCGCATTAGTCTTCTTATATTTTTTGACATATTGAACATATGAAAACAAATGCCGAAAATATTAATAAAAATACACACACACACGCATGCACGCACGCACGCACGCACGCACGCACACACACACACACACACACAATGAATACTTTCAAATAATTAACGATTTGAAAAAAGTATTGATTATAATGATTATAATGATATGTTCTTGCGATAATTATTAAAGAAAATAGATACATTGGTTTATTAAAAGTTTTATACATGAGTAATATAAAAATTTAATAATATGCTTGGAAATTATTTTTATATCAAGAATACATATCATGAAAACTGAAATTGCATTCAATCCGAATTCAACCTGAATAATTAAACAATAAAAATCTTACTGAATCGTGTATTTGAAAATTTAGCAATAAAGAACAGCAGTAACGACTAATGGTCAAAGTTAGATTTTTAATGCTTAAATAATTTAATCTGAATTATTACATACTATATATGTACTTGCATATACGAGTATACCATATTTGAAATCATTCGCACTGCGCGTCGAATTAATTTTTCGGACTTATAAACGCAATTAAATTACTGAAGTAATATCATAAATTAAATTAACATAGAAAAGCTATTTTAATAATTTGATGCTCAATCAGGCATCTCATTAAAAAAATGTTAAAATATGTTGAAAAACTGTAAATAAATTTATTGCAAAAAATATTAGGTGTACAAAAAAGTTCTGAGCTTTTTTTTTGTAAAATTCAATCTTTATTTAAAAACAAACGTACGGAAATGGCTTGCTGCGTAACGCCAAGCTGTTCTGCAAGCTCCTTTTCAGTTTGCGCAGAGTTTATATCCAGCAGTGCTTGCAATTCGTCCGTTTCAATCTTTTCAGGGCGTCCAGCACGCGATTCATCTTTAAGACTGAAATCTCCTTGGCGAAACTTTTGATACCACCTTTTGCATGTTGCATGACTTACAGCGTTCTCTCCATATGCAGCACAAATCATTTCAGTGGCTTCAGCAGCATTTTTCTTCAGATGAAACGCGAAGTGGATGGAAAATCGAATATGCTCTTTTGTAATTGCCATCGTGAACACTACTGATTTTTGAGGTTATGTGCATCAAACGCCAAACCGTATCGCATTTCAGGAGGTTAAATGTTACTGTTTTAAAACCCCAAAAGGGCGGGAAGATATATAAAATTTAAATTGTTATTTCGGTTGTATCAAATCTAAAGCTCAGAACTTTTTTGTACACCTAATATTACCTTGGCCTTTAAATTAGCCTCAAGCATCAATTATTAAAATAGCTTGTCAATTAATTCGTGATATTATCGTAGTAGTTTAATTGTGTTTATAAGTCCGAAAAACTAATTCGGCACGCAGTGTGAATAACTACAACTATGGTATATATTAAGCATTCCACATTAAACCGGGTACTTTTGAAACATCATTTTTATTTTTTTTGTTTGTTGACATTCTACATAAAAATATAAGACACGTGTTTCGCAAACAAATTTGAGATTTTTTTTGTGAAGTTATTCATACTTGTAAGTCGCAGAAATTCGATAGAATAAAAAACATCGCTCATGCATGTTAAATTATTATATCATCGAAATCATCTCTTGCATTTTTTTGTACAACTAATAGTTTCAACGATGTAATAATTTGAATATTCGCATGAGTAACATG